CCAGATCTTACTCTTTATATATATATATATATATATATATATATTTCAGTATTCAGAGACCTAGATCCTAGCGACAAATGAATTAAATTTGGCTTCCCAGAATCTATAATCATGCGATTATAATAGGTGGCAACAGATAAGTAGCCTTCCAATTGCAATTGGTCGATACGTACGGTTACTTATTAGGAGATCGACATCAATGGTCAGACCATCGGTCTTAAGAGCCAACCATGCTGATGTCATGATTTCATACGATTATACACGGCGGCTAATTTAGATCTTTAAGGTATTGTTTGTTTTCATTTTATTCTATAGGAAAGAAAAAAAGTTTGATTGCATTTTTGTCTTTATTTTTATATGAATAATTTTAAAAATTAAAATGGAATTTTTAAAACAATAAGTTGTTTTATATTTTAATTTTTTTATATAATATCATATTACAACATTATCATTATTATATTACCACATTTTCATAACGTTTCTCATAATACCACTAACGACACTTTATCTATCGTCGTCGAAACCATCACTATCATCAAAATAACATAGTCATCATCATTTTTATTTTATTTTTTTCACTATCATACATCTCCTTTAAAGTTAATATTATTAACTCCATCCACACTATTATTATTATTTTATAACTTTTACATACATATTATGACTATTTTTACTACTACCATGTTATAGCAACTGGTCCTACCATATTGTCATCATCCAATACTACTATTATTATTTATCAATAAAATTACAAGCATTACAGTAATCTTGAAATTACTATAATACTCATTATTATTTTTACATCATATTAGTTATCATCCTTTTATTATAGTGCATTTTATTGTCATGTTTCCACTGTTTAATCATAATGATTTAACTTTGTAATATTATTACTTTTTATGCTTTTTAGTTATAATATTTTATTAATTTTTCTTAAATTAAGTCTATATCAGAATTTTTTCTTCATACATGTTTGTTAAAAAAAAAAATTTTTTTCTTGAAATAAGAAACAGTAAACATAAAACAGTTTTTGGTTTTCTAAAAAAAAAATGGTACCAAACGGATTTTAATTTTAAGATTTCTTTTTTGAGGTTAGCTATTTTACTGATGTAATTAATGCAGCAAGAGGGTGATGGTTGAACCAACAATGGGTGCCTGGGGTCAATATATGGATACGTATGGAGTTGGAATTAGCGTCTCAATTTGTCTTCTTGATGACTTGAAAGCAAATGTTTGTAGTCGTTCACTCCTGGAATGAGAGTAGGAAGATTTCCTTGTCGTCCAGCAAACTTACCAACAAAAAAGAAGTTCAATGAATTTTTTAAATAGGCAAGGAATAAATACCAAGGGAACTTAAAAAGAACAAAATTGTTTCAAGGAAAAAGGGAAAGCTCATTTCAGCATTCTAAAATGGATGAATGCTTTCTCTTCTAAAGGAAAAGCCACTATTATTGCATTAGATTTGGTGCTACATGCAAATGAGGAGAACCTGCACGCCAGCTTAGTTCTTCAATCCTCATCTTCTTTACTTGCCCTAGAGGATACGGTGCCAAGAAACGGCATGTCTTGTGCGTTTTCTCAACTACAGCTCATGCCTGCACGTGTAGTACTGAAGTGTTTAATTTCTCTTTGACTTACTTTCCGGTAGCAAGATTTTCTGTTTTCCACCGTCTCTGACTCTTTGTTTTTTCTTATCTAGGTAGTGTATCAGCAGAACCTTTTGCCCCCTGCAAGTATTCTCCATGGTTACAATTAACTACGCTAGTAATTAATGTGAGTACGTACTTTGATCGACAAGATTCAATTTGTTTTTTTAAGGAAAAGGATACATGTAAATTGATAATTCATAAGGATTAAAAAATATACAAACTATATATTTAAGAATAGGATTTGAATCTGATATCTGTTGTGTTTAACTTTTCAGGTTGATGTTTCTTCCTCTATATATAGTCACGCAAATTATCGTCGACCAAAGACGACCTGGTTAACAACAATTAAAATTGGGACATACAATGGATTCAATTTCCTGCCTTTTTATTCCATCCCAAGTTAAATAGTTAAAAAAAAAAGTAATATATAAAGTTGGAAAAGAACCACCCATCACAAAGTTTAAATTTTTTTTAAATAAAACTTAATCTCAACTATTTAATTTTATATGATATCGAATCTTAAAAATTCCTAATGATCTAATAAGGATTCTAAAATTCAAATCACTTGACAGATAAAAAAGATAAACTGTAAGTGTCAAGAGTGTTAGAAAACATAGTTGAGAAATGACTACAAACCATAAGCTTTAAGTATTTTGGTTAGAATCCAATTTTAATTATCTAACTCTATATAGTATTAGAATCTAAAAAAATCTAATAGTCTAATAAAGATTTTAAAGCTCAAACCACTTAACAATCTCGAAAAATAGACTCGAGCCTAAGCTATTTGTTAAAGTTCAAAATATGGACTGCAAGTAATAAATAATATTAAATCACATATCTCACATTACTAATTAAAAAAAATATATATAAAGTTAAAAAAAAATCTAATTTCAATTATCTCATCTGATAAAGATTAATGCCCACATCTACCGACATTGCCACTGTGACCTGCTAAGTGAAAAATAAGACCAATTTGCAAGTAGTGGATGCAACTTAATTATTAATATCGTTTGCGTGAAGTGGGAACAGCTTGTATTTAGGAGCAGAATATCCTCTTTCCAGTGATGTGTGGACAAGACAAATATTGTTTTACAGTTTTATTTAAAATAAAATATTTAAAAAATTTGGACAAAGGTATGGTTGGAAGGATATGCCAATTGCCAGCTGTATTAATTATTAATTACGGTGAATTACAATAACCTTCTTGATATATATTTTAATTATAAAAACTATTTAAAATTTAAAAAGTTGACAAGAACTCTTTTCTTGTTAATATTAGAAAAGAACCCTGTTATAGTCAAAATACCCTTATTTACTACGTCAAACAAATAATTAAGTTAGAGATTTAAAAAATTAGAGAAAGAATATATTAAAAAATTGGACACGATTATTTTTAAGTCCAGAAACAGTATCCGTTTCATTATTTAATTTAGATTGATTTTGTTTTGAACTTCTTTTTAATATTCCTTCTTTATTTCTTAAAGTCTTTCAATTTAATTATTATATTTAAATGGTAATTAAAGCCATTTTAAATATAAAAAGATTTTTATCAAAGCTTCAATTTTTTAGACAATTTCTGTAATTCCACTGTGCATCGGACGAATTGTTGTAATTTACTCTAATTATCACGTCTTGGATTATCAAAAAAGAGAAAAAATTTAAGACTTTGCCGAACTATGTGTTAAGATGTTAATAATCTATGATGAATTTTGATAAAATTGTGATCATGAGATTAATTTTAACAGGTTTTAGATTCAAGTTTATCATATAACCTGGTTTGTGTATAAAAAATGAATGACGAATATCTGTAAAATAAATTATTTTTTAATGTTTAAAGAATTTTCTAATAACTAAGTTAGTAAATGAAAAAAAAAAAAAACATTTGTCCTGAACTTGTGGTATAATTTAAACTTACCCTACACACAGATAATTGCAAATACGAATAGCTTACAAAACCCAAAAGCGTGTCGAAGAATCTCTATTCTCTAGGCCGATCTATCTATAGTCTGGCGTTCTTGTGTCTGTACCTTTATCCAACACATACTAGGTTGATAGTTCTATGCGGGATCATTAATTATCTGATGATTTCATTATTGGACGAGATGAATGGTCTAGACTTGGCATAGAAAGACGAATTGGGGTCTAGACTTGGCATAGAAAGACGAATTGATAGATGGGAAATGCTGAGATGCTCGTATCCGAATGTGTTCTTGTCGTTTAAGTTATTTCACAAATCATGATGCCTCCGGTGCAATTTTTTTATTTTCTTTTTTACATTGTAAAAAATCATAAAAAAAATATTTTCAAATCAGTTTATATAATAATTAAAATTGAGCTTTTTTTTTTTTCAAAATGATCTTAAAGAATATTTTTTATATCTATTTGATACATATTTTTTTCTTTTTAATATTGGTCTCAAGATTTAAACCAAAAAAACAAAAAAGATATAATTTTTTAACAATCAAATGACATAATTTATTCTTAAACTATTGAAATTATGACTAAATGAAAATTATATCATCAATTTAGATAATTTGAATTTCAAACCATTAATTTTATTAATTTAAACTATTAGTTTTTTAATAGATTTTATGTTTTTTTTGCTAGATTTGATAGTCGAATTATTAATTATTAACTGAAATACTGATGATTGTTAACTAAAATGCTTAAGAAAATGACATGTGTTTTAAGTATTTTATTTTTTAAAAATTTAAAATTAATTTTGAATAAAAAAATAAAAACTCAGTTTTTTTACTAGATCTTTTTGGAATTGGGACCCCAAACCATTAGGCTTAATTCGGCCATAAGCCCATGTCACAATTCAATAATTTTTTGAAAACATAGCAAAAATTAAATTCAGTTAAAAGGCTCTAAGCCCATGTTACAGAAGCATAAAGCCCAATTATATTTGAATTACTTAACCCAACATAAGACTAAATTAAACTCAAATCCAGTTTTAAGCCTAGCAAAAACCGTACTCCTAAATCTTTCCCTCTCTCTTTGCTGTGCTATATAGCCTGATCCAAGCTAAAAAAAAAAAAAAAATTGAAGCTCGGTGATGCTTTGATATCAGGATCTTATGGTGTTATAAGTGACCAGTCTATTATGCATAGATTAGATTTTAATTCATGAGTAAGAGATTAAAGACAATATCTCATATAAATGGGGTTGGATATTGTACATACATTTTGCAATCTTATTGTTATTTCTATTCAGAGAAAATATAATAATAATGCCTTTATCAGATTTTGGGTAGACCCAGCGGAGCAAGTTACAACAAAAACTGCACCATATATTTATTTTTTCTATTCCTGTAATTCACGAGCACAAGTCTTTCTTTCCAAATCAACAATGGGAAGAGCGAGCACAGCGGTGGACCACAAAGGCTTGTCTAACATGAGGCTTTTACTGTTTATAATTTTTGTTGGCCAACGTATATTTTTGAAGCACATGAAAGACGCGTTGCAACCAGAAAGTGTTTTAGGTTCTGGAAGATTGTTTATAGATTCCCTGGTAGGGTCACACCGAGAAAAACAGGTGCCTAGGATAATTTTTTTATTATTTTTTTTTCAAGCGATACTTATGTTTTCTTTGTCCTAGGCCATACAATTTAGTATTCTGTATCTGTTAGACCTGAGCAATACTCAGTCAGAGTTTTTTGGACATGGAAAACCTTCTCGGTCTTCTCAGAATCCGGGTGAAACGAGGCATCAATCTTGCCGTTCGCGATCTGGGTACCAGTGATCCTTATGTTGTCATCACCATGGGAAACCAGGCTTGTTGCTCTTCTCTTGATCTCCTCAAATTTTGTTACATGATTTGTTAATTTCCCTAGCTACTTCCATTTTTCCTTTATTTATTATTATTATTATTTTTGTCGAATTTTCGGTAAAATACATGGCTTTCAATCTCTTTTGAGTTGGCTGTCTGAGACCTCAACAGAAATGAAACAGGGAAGCAGGCATGAAATTTTCTACTGAAGATATATTAAGGACAAGAAACAAAAGGATTTTCAAAATTGTATTTTGTGCAAGGATATATAATATAGCTATAAAAATGAAAATAAACAAGAAGAGGGTGCGATTTGTTCACCTGATTGAATCTGTCTTTACTATTGATGATGGGCATGGAGTTCAAGAATGCATCTTGAACTATCATAAACTCTGAGGAGATGACATAGCCTTCTCACTTCTGGTTCCCTGCACATAATCAATAATATGGAGGATGTGGCCTGGTTTTTTGTAGGATTGTTTGGTTGATTGATTTTGCTTGAAACTGTTAGAGACTAGTATAAATTATATTCTAGAGCCTCATCTATGAGCTTAAGCTTTTAGGTGAGTTGGTCATTTAATATAGTATACTTTAATATGGTATCGAGCTTGGTTAACTTTGAGGTCCTGAGTTTAAGTCTCAAGTTTCATACCCCAAATGTTAGGCTTTTCACTTGAGCGGGTGTGTTAGATACTAGTATAAATTATATTCTAGGACCTCACTTATCAGCTTAAGCTTTTAGGTGAGATGGTCATTTAATAGAAACTTTATGATCAATGATGAACTGCTAATATTTTGTCATCATTTTTTAGAGAACCTCTTTAGGGGGAGTTACCCTGTACTTGCTTATCTTGATATGAAGCTTTGCCTTCAATTATTTTATGTGATCTAGAAGCAGAAAGCATAAAACCTTCGAAGTATGTTACAGTTCATCAATGTGAAATTAAATCTACAAATAGTCTCAGCATAATTAGAAAGTTCAAATATACATTGGTGTCCTTTTTCTTTTTCGGTATGTTCTCTCTGCGCTGAAATCATTTGAACGTTGGTGCAGAAATTAAAGACTCGAGTGGTGAAGAGAAACTGCAATCCAGAGTGGAACGAGGAGCTTACTCTTTCAATTACAGATCTCAATGTTCCAATCAACTTGGTAAGTAATAGACCACCATATTAATCATGTTTTTGATCTGCTATAATGCTAATCACTCAGCAATTGATTTGATCTGTGCTGTATTGCATACAAAGAGTTGATGGTTGTTTTGCCGAGATACCATTTTCCTCTCTTTAATAGTTTTGCTAAACATAATCCATACTTTATTGCGGTCTATTCTCATTCCATCTGTTTTGGCTTCGTTTGCAGACAGTTTTTGACAAAGACAGGTTTACTGTGGATGACAAAATGGGTGAAGCAGAGATAGACATCCGACCATATATCGCAAGTCTTAAGATGGGCTTGCAAAATCTCCCAAAAGGTTGTGTGGTTTCAAGGGTTCAGCCAGGCCCGAACAACTGTCTTGCTGACGAGAGCTGCATTGTTTGGGATGATGGCAAAATCCTCCAAGACATGGTTCTCAGATTAAGAAATGTAGAGTCTGGTGAAGTGGTGGTTCAAATCGAGTGGATTCATGTTCCAGGTTGTCGGGGATTGGAAATTGAAGGTACGAGCTAAAAGTGCTTGCTATATATTGTGTAGTTTGTAATATAGATTTCAAGCTGCCTGAACTGAGTTTAAATAATTGTACTATTTGTAATAAGCGACGAGAGTCAAAGTATGTTGATATCGAGGCTGTTCTGGTTATGGTCGTGCGGAATGAATAAAAAAGATTCATATAGCCGAGCCCAACTAGTTTGGCATCGAGGCTTTGTCTTTGTTGTTGTTGTTGTAGTTGTAATGAGCAACAAGTGATATCTGTGCTTGAATGTAATGGTTGGTGACAGTTGACAAACTGTGAAAGAGATGATGGACTACAGTGCTTCTAGTTTCTTTCATTTTTCTTACCATAGACGAGCAACTTTATTGATTTGCTAAAGCATGTATGCTTAAACAACTAAATTAACCCATCAGTTTTTATTATTTTTGGAACACAGACAGGGAAGCACCATGGAACCGGGCCAAGAGACTCGACTGACCAAATGATTTTCCTAATTTTACCTTTCACCGTATCCCATCTGGGTGAAATGCGACTCCTCATTTAGAGCGTCCTAACTGAGAGGAAGATGATTGCAACTGGCCTTCTTGATTCCTTAGTTTTCGAACAATTAATCGTAGCGAAAACTGCTTGGAGAGCCTTCTGTTTTCTTGAATAGAGACATTAATCAAGAATTACTTGAATGTTTTCTCCATTAATTTGTTGTTTTCTTTCTTTCTTGTTTTGGTTTTATTTTAAACAATTCTTTTTATGAGATACACGTTTGAAGCTCGAGAGACCATAAAATCTGGAGGGTTGTTGTGAACTAATCGAAGGACTACTCGGCATACCGGTTAAAATGCAAAAAGTTAATAACTAGTAGAATGGATGCAAATAGCGAAACATTTAATCAGTGGCAAACGCAGGAGCGAGTTAAATTCAATGTGTAAGTGAGAGGTTTGAGAGAGAATTCAAAAAGAGTACAGAGATTTTATTAAAGATAAAAAAGTTCGAACCCATGGCAATAATGTGAAGTTAATAGTTATAGTGAAATGGTGGTGATCATTAACCGTTAAAATCATATTATATTATCTATGTTTAAAAGATCAGATTTGAATTAGAAAAACTAGATTTTTTTGAAATAAACTACTGTATTATGCTAGTAAAAATTTTAAAAATAACAATTACTTGATTTTGCTCTGATCCAACTAAACTAATCTTGTTAATGCATCATAATTGACAAGATATGAATATTGGTTTTGTCAAAATACCTGTGTCCTTCGTGCTATCCAAAATCTTGTATCTAGTGAAATCTTATTCTAAGTCCAATCTGTATATTGTAAAGTTTAGACTCATATCAAAACTAAAAAAAATAATATGGATTAACATATAATAAAATTAACTAAATTAATTAATTAAGTAATTATAAGAAAAAATCCATCATGTACAAAATCTAATCTGCTATATCAAACCGTAAGAAGGCTAGCTTTATAGTGTAGTGGGAGTAGTAAGAAAATACTGGAGGTAATAGATTATTCGTTACCTTGACAGTTATTCCCATGCATAGAGTTTTTCTCCTCTACTTCTTAACCTGATTAGAAACACAAACGAAATAGAGAATCGAAGTGTAAAATCAATACTTATAACTTTAGCCTTTGTTTGACTGGCGAAAAATATTTTTCTCATTTTTTTGTTGTCCTAAACCTATTTTTTTAGAAAATGCTTTTCTATAGACATTTGGGGTGAACAAATAAACCGAAAAACCGGATTATTCAATCAATCCAACCAAACTAGTCACTTTTCAAGTTTCTATATTTTATAGTTACCTGAGATGCTAAATACACCAAATTTGGAATCAGGTAAATACACATGCATCATGTATATGGTTTCTACAAAAAGGGTTATCTTATGAAAATGGCCATATGAATAAACTTGATGAGAGGCATTATCATTGTTTCCACCTAAATAATAAAGCTTCCAAAGTATTCATTTAATCTCCTTAAACTTGAAATAGTCTCTGACGCATACTGACCACCGCATAAAATCTTTAAACGAGAATTCTAGTTTATCAAAATAAGGAATTTATTAAATTCTGGAGTACCTCTACAAAATAGTTATTAACTGTAATCTGCATCTCAATACGTGCAAGAGTTTGCCTCGACCTTTAGCTTGATGCATGTTGAATGCGGGGTTAACGGGCAAATTCAATCAATTGTGACAGAGTGATAATGTTGGAGACCTTGCCTGTAAAGTAAATCATCTACCAACTGTAAGAAAATTAATAGATTCTTTTTGGGAAGATATTTACTTAAAAAAAAAAAACCTAAAGAAAACATGTTTTAGTAATTGAAAAATAAAAATTATTTTTTTGAAAATATTTGTTTTCTAGTTCTTCAATTCTCTAAGAACTTTAAAAACAATAAAAATGCTGTTCTTCAAATTTTAAGAGTTGGTTTGGTTCACCTAATTTTTCATTTTCATTTCTTTTATTATTTCTATTGTAAAGCGTTTATTTTCTATTTTAAAATTTATATTTAAGAAAAATGTTCAATTATTTTTTCACGAAAAATCTTTTTATAATAATAAAAAAAACTAGAAATGTAAATTAAAAATCATTTTATGAAAGCAAAGTAAAAAATTATTACACGAACCTCGTCCACCTCCACCTCGTAAGATCATAGACTAAACTAACAGAACTATTATCTATCACTAGATCTATCAACATCATTCATATAATAAATCACATTTAAAATATGAATATTCTCACATTTAATAGCATATTCATAATTATAAAATGAAGTAATGAATAATGCAGTCATTACAAAATAATGTTACAAATTTAACTATGTGTAACAGTTTTATTGGTTTGGTCCATGATATTATGTGATGGACTAGATTTATACATGTAATAATTTCTCAAAATAAAACGATTACTTTTAGGAACTCTTTATATATATATATAGTCAAGAAGTTTGCATCCAAATAAACAGGAGTAAATTTTAAATTAATCTTTTTAGTTTCAAGAAAATAATTAATTAGTTTTTCTTATTTTAAAAACTGATCATATAGTCTTTATTATATTTCTTGTAATTTAATTCTTTTTTTTTCAATTTAATTTATTTTTTCAAAATAGAAAAAAAAAGAGTAAAAAATATAGAAGTATTAATAAGAAAAGATGATATTTTTCAAAATAAAGTAATATTAAATTACATGTGGTCAGCACTGGTCAAAAGACTAAATAATTAGTTTTTAAAATAAGAAAATTAATTAATTAGATTTTTTTAAAAAAATAAAGGACTAATTTATAATTTACTCAAATAAACAATCGGCCTTGGGCTCATGATGATATGGGCTTCGACTGATTATTGTTCAAAATTTAAAAACAAGCTAGACCCAATTGAATTGAGTGGCGGTTTGAATCAACGCGTTCTAGAAATAATTTCTTTTTCCAAGGTAAAAGCTTTTAAGATTAATTCCAAGAAAAGAAAGAAAAAGAATATTCTCTAATTAGACGAATAATTTTCAGATCAGATCTGAAAATCTAATCTTATATAACAGTGGTTATATATAAAGTGTCGATTTTATTTTGAAAATATTGTACGGGGATCTTTGTTCTAAGTTTTTGTACACTATGTGAATTAATAAATTTTTTTATCAAGTGGAAATTAAAATGATTAAATCACTGCCTTTTAATTTTAAAATAAAATTTTATCTTTCAAATGAAAGAGAAAATATCTTGAGATAAAGTTTGTGTGGAAAGAGGTATTGGATTAAAAGGGAAATCTACAAGAACAAAATTAAAAACCGAACATCAATATTAATTTGAAACGACAAGCTATATATATATATATATATATGTATGAGGAGAGGCAGAAAAGTCAAAATGTTTGCAAGAGGGGACGCTTGAAAGCAAATATTTGAAAATGACTATCGATAATCGTTCGAGATTTGTTCCATTTGCTTTATCATTAATTATTTCAGCCGGATATTACAAATATCCATTTGAACTTATCGTGCTTCAATCCCATGCATGTTTGAACTATTTGCTGATTATTTTTCTTTCAACTAGACCCAGCCCATTTTTCATAATTGGGGGCCTTAGCACTAAACCTGCGTATTGAGCTCCTTTTCTATTTTGGATGATTGTCTTGCATCTTTTTATACCCTTATTTCAATTTAACTTGAAGCCTTTCTTGGTTCAAGTTCCTCTTCTAACATTATATAAGAAAGCATGATTCACGTAGACAGCTGGGACACCTCAGAATATAAGAGATTTTAAGTTTTTTCTAGAAGATAGCCCTTCTTGTAGGAATAGCTAGCTATTCTTTAAGGGTTTTGGGCTCGTTTGATTAGTGGACCTGAGTTAAACTTGACAGATTTAGTATCACCAGTATCCATGGGATATTTTTATTAAAATGCACAAAGACAACACATGTCATCCGGGTCATTTACTAGCAATTCCTTGAACTTCCTGTATTCATAGAAATGAATTGTACTATATATTTGCATATTTTTTATTACGGCATGTGCTTTATATGTTTAGACAATCTATAGCACCATGCAAGAATATCCCATTGTTCTCCTTCTGGAGAAATGTCAATTGCATTGTCATGCAAAATAAAAGTAGAGACACCTCATAAATAAAACAAGAAAAAAAAAATCTATAGGGATGTTTGGAAGTTTGTAAATAGATATTTTTCTTTTCCAAGGTAGTTATTGATTGAATTGTAGGGATATCATTTACGTGGTTAATCTACTTGTAGTTCCTTATCTTACCAAATTGCTTTCATGGTCCAAAAATCCTCCATCAAACTTTTAAACAGACGAAGAGCACCAAATTGAACACAGAATCCATGGCTTCTACCTCAACATCCTCGATATCATTGCAAAACAATGCCCCAGGAAAAAGGTTCCCCTCATCCCCCACCTCAAAACCATTGCATTCTAATCTCAAATTTCCATTTTCAATGCCTGCAACAAAAGCTACAGGAATAAAATCTTCAAGTACCACAAAGTACAACGAAGTTGTTATTGATGAAGAAATGGACAAGATTAGGAGACTCCAAAATGGGTCCGATGTTCGTGGGGTGGCATTGGAAGGGGAGAAGGGCAGAACAGTGGATCTTTCTCCTCCGGCCGTGGAAGCCATTGCCGAGAGTTTTGGTGAGTGGGTTATCAATGGCTTGGAAAAGGAAAAGGGACGTGTTGTCGAGAATGTTAAGGTGTCACTAGGTAGAGACCCAAGACTATCAGGAGCTTCTTTGAGTGTAGCTGTGTTTGCTGGTCTTGGCCGTGCTGGTTGTTTGGTGTTTGATATGGGGCTTGCTACCACTCCAGCTTGTTTCATGAGTACATTGTTGCCTCCATTTACTTATGATGCATCCATAATGGTAAGTTAGCCCTTGCGATTAGCACATAATTAATATATACGTGCACCTTTGATTTGGTTCTAGCTAGTTTAGCTGTTGATTGCTTTGCAGATGACAGCATCGCACTTGCCATACACTCGTAACGGACTCAAATTTTTCACTAAGAGAGGGGGCTAACCTCGCCCGAGGTGGAGGAGATATGCGGTAAAGCTGCCCTCAAGTATGCAAATAGGCTTGCAAAAGTTTCCACCATGTTCAAGACTCCACCAGCAAGAGTTGATTTCATGAGCAACTATGCGAAGCATCTCCGGGATATAATCAAGGAGAGAGTGAACCATCCCTTGCACTACGACTCTCCCCTCGAAGGATTTCAGGTTTCCCTCTCTCTCATAAGTTTTTTCCTTCCTTTCTTTGTGTATGAATTATGAGCATGAGTACATGTTCTGATCTTGTGAGTTACAACACGAGCAGCACACCCACACTCATTCATCTTAATTCTGTTATTCTTGCTAGAAAAATTTAACCCTCATGTGGTGCTAGTTAAGCTGCATGTGCGTTGATGTCTGGCATATCGTGAATACGTTTATATTAAAGTTTAATGTCTGCACGTTTAATTATTCTTTCAATGTATCTATTTGTATTCATTCGAAATTTGAATTTGATTTCTCATGAAAATGTAAGTAAGAAATTTTGTTTGGAATTACTGGTTCATATTAAGCATGAGTATATCAAGCTTGTGTGCGGGGACTCAGCATCCAAGCATGTACAGATTTACCGCGAGTGTGCTTGGCCAAACGTTTTATAAAATGAGGGGGAAAAAAAAGAAAAATAAAACAAGAGAAAAATCAAAATTAATTATGCTTAGAGTCGAGGCAAATTTTAGAATTTACTATTGGAAATGACAGTTAATGACAGATGGTGAAAAAAAAAGGGTTGAAAAGGAAGGATAAGAGAATGAAGAGCAAATTAAAATGGTAATCAAAGATAGTGAAAAAAAAAAAAAAAAAGAATAAGAGAAACAAGGGCAAGATGTGGCAAATAAAATTAGAGGCTCAATAGTTAATTGAAATAGGAAAATCATTGACAACTAAACTCTCCAAAAAATAAGAAAATTAAAAATAAAGAAAAAACCTGGCAATTTAGATAAGAGAATTATAATATATAACTAGACACTTTTCAGACTTAATTAGGAATTTTTATTTGGTATCGACTCTATATATATATTTTTTTAACCTAGAGTTTTTTTTTCCCCGTTTTGGTAGTTAGGGATGGCCATTTCTATTTTTCAAAACATAAAAATTCTTTTTCGAGGTTAAACTTTAACCTAAATCCGCAAACCATCTTTTTTTCTTAATTATCCAAGAACGAAAAAACATTTTAACCTGACCACATTAGGAGATTAGGAGTGGACTTATTTGCTGGAGATTGCACCACTACTTTACTTTGTTCTGATTTAAAGAAGAGCTTATTAGAAAGGGGAAAAAAAAAACTTTTAAAAAGAAAAACATAATTTAAATGGTATAATAGGAGATTAGGAGTGGACCTATTTGCTTGAGATAGGTTTTGGGTCCAAGCCTCATATAAAGTCCAAGAAATTAAATACGGCCCAAATTCTTTCTTGAGATCCAGCCCAAGGTGATTAAAACAATCTCCTAACCTGCAGATAATCGTAAACGCTGGAAATGGATCAGGAGGCTTCTTCACATGGGACGTTCTTGACAAGCTTGGGGCAGACACCTTCGGCTCACTAAACTTAAACCCGGATGGAATGTTCCCCAACCACATGCCTAACCCTGAGGACAAAACTGCCATGGCACTAACTAGAGCTGCTGTGCTAGAAAATTCAGCCGATCTTGGAATTGTTTTCGACACTGACGTAGACCGAAGTGGTGTAGTTGACAAGGAAGGAAACCCGATTAATGGTGACAGGCTTATAGCACTCATGTCCGCTATTGCGTTGAGGGAACATCCTGGCACTACTATAGTGACCGATGCGCGTACAAGCATGGGGCTGACAAGTTTTATTACCGATAGAGGAGGTCAACATTGCTTGTATCGAGTTGGTTATCGCAATGTGATTGATAAGGGAGTCCAACTTAATAAGGATGACATTGAAACCCATCTGATGATGGAAACATCTGGACATGGTGCTCTTAAAGAGAATTATTTCCTAGATGATGGTAGGCCATGTACTCAAGAATCAAAATAATCGTAAATATTTGATGAGTTATAGTATTTTTAGTGCTCCATAGTAGTACTGATGGATATGTGTAGTTAAATTCCTGTTCTTGTTACCTCATTCTAATGCAATTTTAATTATGTTTTATAGGGGCTTACATGGTTTTAAAAATCATCATTGAAATGGTACGTATGAAATTAGCTGGATCAGATGAAGGAATCGGTAGCCTCATAAAAGATCTTGAAGAACCACTAGAATCTGTGGAGCTAAGGATGAACATCATCTCTGAACCTAGGCATGCAAAGGCAAGAGGTATGGAGGCAATTGAGACATTCCGAAGCTTTGTTGAGGTATATGTATATAGATACATATCTAAATATTCATAAATAAAACACAATTTATCATCTCATCAGAAGATGGAAATCCTTTATGTTAAACCGATATAACTTTCAGGAGGGACGACTTGAAGGCTGGGAATTGGATTCCTGTGGAGACTGTTGGGTAAGCGATGGATGCCTCGTCGACTTAAAAGACGATCCAGCATCTGTTGATGCTCATATGTACAGGTTAGGTGCTATAAAACAAAATGATGATTCATACATTGATCAATGATCAATCGTTTGTCTCTGTGAACTTAGTTCAGTGTTTAGATCGTAGAATCTGGTTTATCCAGTGTATGAGGCATTGCCTTTGATTTTCTTTGCAAGTGCTTCTACTTCTTAAATCGATTCTTAGTTATTTCTACAGGACGATGGATGTGTTTTGATAATTGTCGTACTTTAAGTCATACAAACATTACTCTGTGAGAACAGGGTTAAAGTTTCTGATGAAAAACAAGGACAACACGGTTGGATGCACCTGCGCCAGAGTATTCATAATCCAAATATTGCTGTGAATATGCAATCAATGGTGCCTGGGGGTTGTCTATCTATGACAAATATTCTTAGAGACAAGTATGTCGCATGGCCTAAGCCCTTACTCCTTAGATCTATTCAAAACAATTGCTGTAAATGTTGTATTGCCTTCTAAGACTCGTGACATTTATTATTGATTGTTCTCAGGTTTCTCTTGGCAAGTGGAATGGACAAGATCCTGGATATCACTCAGATCGACAAGTACGCTAGAACTGGACTTGTAAAATAATGAGGATCTTCACGATAAGATCAAATGTCATTTTATTACAATTAATACAGATCATAGCTATAATGTACAGGGAGATAGAGTGGTGGCTTTTCCGAACTGAATGGTTTTCTGTTTATCCTATCATTACTAATATTAATGTAGTAAAAACAAAAATTTGATAAACTATATATATAATTGATAAACTGCCATCCTCCATGTACCTACCGAGAAGCCAAGAGACATGATCCCCCGACATCGAGCACTGCTTCTTTACTATTCACAATATTCTTAAAAAAAAAACTAAAACAAAACGGAAAAGCGCTGTAACGCTTTTCCTATTTATTCACTTCTTTCTTCTTCTTTTTTTTTTTTTTTTCAGCCAAGCTTTTAGGAAACTTTACTTTTTATTTTGATCCCTGTTTTATGAATTTTTTATTTTGCTAATTAAAATTTTATCATATTTGATTTTTGTCCCTATAATAAATATTAAAATTTTATCATTTTGGATTTTTGAGTCATAAATATTATATTTTATTTTTTTCTCTATAATATATTTTTTTGTTCGTATTTTGTGATATTTTTTTATTTTATTCATTAAAATTTTATCATATTTGATTTTTATCCTTACTATACTAAAACTAAATAAAGTTTACTATTCTAAGCTTTTATTTATTTATTTATTTATTTTGCTTTTAGTGAATCTTTTCTTTCTATTATAATTTCTGTTTTGTGATTTGTTTTCTTTGTTTTGACCATTACATTTTGTAGAATTTATTTTTGTTTTAATCCTTGTTTTTTAATTATTTTTTTATATCATTAATTTTTTATTATATTCGATTTTTTTCCTACAATGAACTATTTTTTACTTTTAGTAAAACTTTTTGTTATGTTTTGATTTTTTTTTTGTGATCTTTTTTTTATTTTGATTATTAACTTTTTATTATATTTGATTATCATTCATTCTATACTAAAATTAAATACAATTTCACTATTCTAAGCTTTTTTTTAGTAAAAAACATTTTCTCGTTTTGGTTCTTATTTTGTTAATTTTTTTTAATTTGGTCATTAAAATTTTATAATGTTTTACTTTTGTTTTTGCCTATTCATAATGAATGTTTTTTAGTCTTATTGTTTATAATTTTTTTCTTGCTTTTAGTGAAAGTTTTTATTTATTTATTTTGATCCTTCTTTTATGATCTTTACTTTGTTTTGATCATTTAATTTTTATCGTATGTAATTTTATCTCTCGGTTTTTTTTTTTTGGCCAAATTCTTGATTTGAAAAAGGTTTTTTGTCTTTTTATTTTGGGTGGTTTCTCTATCTCATTAACAAATTACGGATGAATAATATATGGTAAAAATTAATCATCTAAAATTAAAAAAACTATCACATCATCATTTTAATTACTATTTATTATCCATATTTTAAATAAAATACATGTTTATATCAAACAATATCTAATTAGTAATATTATATTACTCAACTTTGCGGACTTTTTATTTAGCTAATTTTGCAGCAAAATATGAAATATATGTTTTGGTTCTTTTTTTTTTTTGAATTTTTTTCCTGTGATACTTTTAAATAATTATTTTTAAATTTTTTATTTTATATAAATGAACACATAATAATGTTGTATAGATCATCCCGCGGTAATACGCTGGATATATGCTAGTTACTATATATCTAAAAGGGGTGGTGTTGTGACTGTTCACAACCTTATTCACCTTTTTTTAATTTTTTTTGTTCCAGCATTGTTCACTTTTTTTTTTTTTTTTTCAAGTTGTTTTGAATACATGCCCTTTTTTTCCCCCCATCAATTTAGGTTTTTTTTATTTTTACATTGTTTCATCTTGGTCTCTAAAATTTTAATCCCCTAACCGATACACCGCTCATGCCTTTTCTTCTTCTTTTTTTTCTTTCCTTTTTTCCATCAATTTATGTTCTTTTATTATGTAATTAGGTGTTAAATTTGGAAAAAAATCAATCGTTACTTTTTTCACACAAACTAACGATTATATAATATATATGATCCTGTTCACTTTTTCTTTTTTGGTTTTGGCACTATTCACTTTTTTTTTTTTTCAAGTTGTTTTGAATACATGTCTTTTCTTTTTTCCCCCTTTGTTTTTTTTCCATAAATTCAAGTTCGTTTTTTTTAGATTGTTTCATTTTGGTTTTTAAAATTTTCAAATAAAAATTTTGATCCCCTAAATGATGCATTTCTCATGCCTTTTCTTTTCTTTTTTTTTCCTTTGCTTTTTTCCATCAATTTTTGTTCTTTTTTTTATTTAATTAGGTGTTAAATTTTTAAAAATTCAATTGTTACTTTTTTTCACACAAATTAATGATTATATAATATATATCATATATATTTTTTACATTTATATGATATTTTTTAGATTTTATTACGATATTTTTTTTGTTTCAAAGTTTTTCACTATGCATGCCTTTTTTTTCCTTTCTTTTTTCCACCAATTTAGGTTCTTTTTTAATTTAATTTTTTATTTAATTTTCATGTTGTTTTATTTTAGTCTCTAAAATTTTAAAATAAAAATTTTAAAATCCTAACCGATACATTACTTATCCCTTTTTTTTTCTTTGCTTTCTTTTTTCCATCAATTTATGTTCTTTTTTATTTAATTTTCATGTTGTTTTATTTTGGTCTCTAAAATTTTAAAATAAAAATTTTAATCCCCTAACTAATACATTACTCATGCTTTTTTTTTCCTTTGCTCTTTTCCTTCGCTGTTTTTTTCCCACCAATTTATGTTCTTTTTTCCATTAATTTATGTTTTTTTATTTAATTTTCATGTTGTTTTATTTTGGTCTCTAAAATTTTAAAATAAAAATTTTAATCCTCTAACTGATACATTACTCATGCCTTTTTTTCGTCTCGCTTCTTTTTTTTTCTATCAATTTATATTCTTTTTTTATTTAATTAGGCATTAAAATTTTGAAAAATCTAACGTTACTTTTTTCCATACAATTGACGATTATATAAAACTACTCATACTTTTTTTTCCTTTGCTTTTATCCATCAATTTATGTTCTTTTTTTATTTAATTAGGTGTTAAAATTTTAAAAAATTAATCATTACTTTTTTCACACAAACCGACGATTATATAAGATATACAATATTTTTTCTACATTTATACAATATGTTTTTAGATTTTAGAATAAATATAAACTACTCTTATTGTTTAAAATTGATTTTTTTGATAAAAATTCTCATCAAGTTAATTTTTATTCTTATTTTTTAATAATTTTATTTATTAATAAATACGACTTACTTTCTCTATGTATGGATTCGAATAAGTTTCTTTTTTATACCTGTTTTTATTTGCTTAATTATTATATAATCAAATTTTAAAAATTGAATATATTTATTTTATTTTCTAATTTTTTTACATAACAAAATTTTATCGAAATTAGTTTTATAGTTTTTACCGCACTCTATTAACTTCGGTATATATTTTACCATTTATTTTTTAATTTATTTTATACATTCTCACCTATTGAGTACAATCATAATGTATAAAAAATAATAACATTAGATCCGTTGATTTTATTAGAAATCAACTATGCATCTACACACAATACCAACTATTTGCTATTATTTTTAAAATGATTTTTCTAAATAAAATAATTAAAATAATATTTTAGAATAACCGCCTAATAATTCAAATATAATTTTGTATACTAATATTATTCATTATTTTGTAAATAAATATATATAAATCAAATGTATATATTTCAAAAAATCTTCTCATCGGTAAAAAGTTTCGTTTGCTAATTTTGATACAAGTTTTTATATTAATTGTTGCTTTATTTCTTTGATGCAATATAATGAAAAACAAATTAAGATGTTTTTTAAAAAAATTATATTAAAATTTGTTTATTATGGGTTTTATTTAAGAATAAATGCATAAGAAAAAGCAAATTATATTTTTTGACTTCAAAATTTATTCAAAACATTATATATATATATATATATATATATAGAGAGAGAGAGAGAGAGAGAGAGAGAGAGAGACACACACACACACACACATAAAATTTTGATTAAAAATTATAAAATTAGATGAAATTTTATATTTAATTTAATATATTTTAATTAACTAATAACATAGTATATGTTATCCAACTGAAATAGATATGTTTAGTTCGGTTCACAACGTAACGCGAGAATCCGAACTATTCATATGTCTAAAATTCTTATTTACTTACTCGTTCATATACATAAAATTACTATTCACTTAATGTCAATTTAAGTCATTTTTGTGTGTTTTTAGCCATTAATATACAAATTTAACACTTTTTTCTATTTTTGGTCCCACATGTTTTAACATTTTTTTTTCAATCCTTAGTTTTCATTTTCATGTAGTATATATATATACTGTCTTTTTATATTTTAAAATTAATAGATACTTCATCTTATATTACTCTTATCATTTAAATATCATTCTTTGAATTTATCATTTTTTATGAAAATTCTCATCCAATTAATATTTTTACATAAGATTTTATTTACTAATAAATATAATTTATTTTTCTCTATGTTTAAATTTTAGAATAAAATTTTAAAACATGATTTTTTTTATTTTTTTTAAATAAATTGGTATAATATATATCATAAATTCTTATAATTTTTAAATAATATTTGCACATATATAAATATTTAATTATTTTATTCTAAAAGATTAATAGTGTATTTCAAATAATTTATTTTAGTTCATTAGGTATGATCAAGACATATAAAAAAATATTGAATTGTTGATTTTATTAAAAATTAACTATATATCTTCCAATATAATACAAATTATTTACTATGAATATTTTTTTAATATTATAGAACCAATTTATTTGAAATAAAATAATTAAAATAATTTTTTAAAGGAATCAACCAATTATTCAAATATAGTTTTTTATGCTAATTTTGTTGATTATTTTGTGTGTGTGTGTGTATATATATATGTATATATAATGCATATACTTGAAGAAAAAAAATCTTCTCACCAATA